CAAATATTTATGCGACGCGAAGACAATGTGATTGCCACAACGAAATTCGACAGCCCATTTACAAATGAATAGGTTAATGTCAGCGGGGAGGGTCTGGACGAGAACTGAATTGTGGGCGTGGCCGTTGCCCTGTTTATGAGCCAAAGTTCAGGCAGCGCACAAATTGACTTTAAACATGTCAATTTAAATTTGCTTCTGTTACGAGAACGAGCGGAACCTGTAGTGGAGGACAGCCAAAAAAAATATATATATATATCCCCTGCTCTTTCAATTGTCTCCCCGGATCTGTTTGCGCCTCATTAGCGCACCCCGAAAGGTCTTTCCATACATTTGCCCATCCATTTACATTTGTTTTGAGTTTCGTCACGAATATTACTCATACGCCGCATTGCACGCAGCCATTGAAGCAACAAAACGACAATTTCACAACAAATTAACTGCGCAGCCAGGCAGGCAAACATTCATTTCAGACATACTATATGAAGATATGATATCACACTCAAGGGCACACACACTGATACACACACGCACATCTGCTGGGGAAAAAGCGACGAAAAATTGCAATGAAAGCTAAGCAAATGACCTTCAAACTCGATAAGCGAAAACAAAACAAGCGAAAGTGCTAAAAATATACATAATTTTCACCAAACACCCAAACATACACACACACACACACACACACATAAACACATGGACATCCAGAGAATATAAAAAAAAAAGAGCCTACACACACGCATAGCTGAAAATATGATAGCTCTGGCAAAAGCAGAAAAGCAAAAACATTAAAATTTACGAGGGTAGGCAAGTGCCGGGCAAATGATACTTCCCGGTCGATGTCCTCGTCTATGTGCCCAGCCAGGCCTCTAGCGCAACATAAATACAAATTTCAACACAGCAACACACAAATACGCAATGAAAGGCAAAAAGGCTCAGCGCACTACAACAATTTCATATCGCACAAATACTTGCGCAGCCAAATAAACAAAAGACCAAAAAAACTGAAACAAAATGTATAAAAAGAGTTTAGGCTCATAAGGAATTTGAAATACTCTGCGGCGTCAATGTTATGTAATATGATGATATGATGGAGCTGTATAATCCTTTCAAGATTTGTATTATAAGTATTTTATTTTTTTACTATTAGTTAGAATTTATCAAAAATAAGTGTTACATTGATTTTAAAGTTTACCAAAGGCCGTTACAAATACTGTATCTTAAGCAGCTTAAAGCTTAAAGCAAAAATATCCAAGAAGTTCGAAAAAAGTTTGTACGCTTTTCAAAAACTTGATATATTTTTTCAACATCTTTTCGGCAAGATTACCTCGTACAAGAACTTATCAAAAAAAAAAAAAAAGAAATATAATCAAATCAATCAAGTCAAACGAAATATATTTAAATGCCCTAACAAGTTGATCCGTGTTGTTAGTATAGTGTACTAACAAAGTGCTACTCCTTGTCTATCGTTTTGTTTCGTTCGCATCGCCCATCGATTCGCGACTTTTTGTAGTTGGCTCGTGCCACATGCAAAAAGGGGCAAGTGAAAGTAACGCAAGGGCAACACAGCAAAACTTTACGCAGCTTGTGCTTGACGACAAAAACAGAAGAAAAAAAAAAAAACAGGGCGGGGATAAAAAAGTGCTGAAAATGTTGAAAGTGCCGTGGCGGCATTCGTAAATATGCGGCACGCATTTTTATAGTAGGCGGAGAGATAAGCTTATGAACGTCTATATAAAACGTCGACAGCGCCGGCGTCGCAATTATTTATATATATTTTATTGGTTTGTCAGGCTTTTGAAATTAAGTAATTATTTGTGTTGTTGGGGCGCCCAAAAAGCCACAACTAGATAAAACAGCAACTACTACAAAAATATTGCAAACATTTTACTTTTTCTACAAACGCTTAAATTATTTAATGGCTGCCTGGCCATAAAGTTTAGCAAATATTTTAAGAGCTTTTATATTTGCTTTGTTTACCTAAACGCATAACGCATACGCACAGTAGTTTAGAGAAAAATGAACTAACATGCCACAAATACACACACGCACATTCACATACTCACGCACACGCACACGCACACTTTACAACTAGGATAAGCCACACAGAATGGCTTAAAGCCTAATGCGATAACAAGCTAAAACTTTTTTCTAATAAGCGAATGTTTGCATTTCTATTTTTCATGCCACATCAACTGCAACTACAACTACAACAACAACAACAATAATAACAACAACAACAACAATGCAGAGCGCAATTGTAAGCGAAATGAGCACAGAATTGTGAGAATTAGCTAAATTTAATTTGCAATAGCCAACGCCCGCCCACAACGACAATGCCCAGGCTCAGCAGCAGCAACTGCAGCACGTTTCAGTAGCATCTGCCACAGTTTGCGCTTCGGCGCCGCCGCCGACTGCATTCTGTAAACTTTGGCTGCAGCAGCAACAGCAACAACAGCAGCAGGAACAGCAACAGCGGCAACAATTGCAGCAACAGCAACAGCTCTTCGAGCAGCAACAAGCTTGGCTATAAGCAACAGCAACAACAACAACAATAACAAAGGCAACAACACGTGTAAGTGCAAAGTTAAATGAAAACTACATGCGGGTGCTCGCACAAAAGTATGCTATGGAAAACAAAAAGAGGCAACTGCAACAGCAACCAGTAGCACCAGCAGCAGCAGCAGCAGCAACCAACATCAACAACAATAAACAACATTTAAAAGCCGTTGGGCCAAAAGTTGTGCAAAACTTTCGACTCGACAACAACTCGTTGCGGGCTTTGTCGTTGCAAATTAAATGTACATTTTGCCAACATGTAAATAGATAATGTCTGTAACGAATCTTAAGTATGCCTGTGTACAGTATGACCCTGTGAGTGTGTGTGTCCTGCGTGTGTGTGTGTGTGTGTGTGTGTGTGCTAAGCAAAAGATCAAATTGTGCTTAAAACTAATTAGCTAAACAAAACACTTTAAAATATGCATGCAAAATAAGTAAACGAATATACAAAGAATTTCGAAATAGCTTAGGATGCGCAGCAAATAATCAAAAAGCCAAAAAAGCAAATGTAACTCCCAGATAAGAGGGCACACAAACAACAAAAGCAGCAGCAGCAGCAGCAAGGACAACAATAACAACAACATAAAAGCAAAAATAAATTGTGCGTTAATGATAAGCGGCGCGCATTTCAGCGGCATAAAATTTATTAAAATATGCGTGCGGCACAGACAGCAAAATGGAAGATGCCCCAAAAGCAGGCGGCACAAAGATATTTATGCTTACGAGCACATATATACAAATATGTATGTACGTATGTATGTTGAGGCTTAGCCGCAGCTATACGCAAACACACACACACACACACACGCGGAGGCAGAAAAAAAAACACTTGCGCTTCCTGGCCAAGGAAATCGTTAGCGATAAATATAAAATTTTATTGTTATGCGTGTGTTGCTTCCGCATATGTGTGTGCGACTGTGTGTGTGTGTGTGTGTGTGTGTGTGTGTGTGGCCTGCAAGTAAATTAAATATGCTTTTTTATTAACTACTAAGAACCAATTTGATACGCATACAAATAATGCCGCAAAAGTAGCATGAAAATTATGTAAAATTTAATTTTACTTCAATGGAAAATTCAACTGAAACAGATGCAAAAACAGAAGCAGAAAATAAGCCAAATCAATTTATTAAGTAGCCCATAAATGTAATTTAAATAAAATTATATAACACATTTATGTATATCTATATGTTTATGTGCATATTTGTGTGTGTGTTAACCATTATGAAACTAGCTGTAATAAAAATAAACAACTTACTTACTTACTTATGCCAACAACGTCCAGCAATTTCAATAATATTTATGTAAGCGCAACCCGCAAAGAACAAACACACACATACACACACACACACGCACACATAACAAACACTATTTTGACCATATTTTAAGCCCAATTTAGTTTAATCATTTGCAAATAATTTAAGCGCAAATGTATCTATGTATCTATTCTTTTACGCGTGTGCATGTGCGTGTGTGTGTTTGTGTGTGTGTGTGTGTGTATGCGTCGATGTTTGTTCCATGTAAATATATATCTCTTTTAGCCATTTCTCTTCAGCTCGTCAGTAAAAAAAAAATAAAAAACACTAAATTGAAACACTGCCACTATTAAGAGCTAACAATTATTATAATTATAATAGATTACTTTTTCGTGGAATAATTAAAGCCACTTATGAAAAAAAAAAAACAAAACGTATATTAAATAAATAACATAATTCGAGTAAAAATATTGTACCCAATGTAAGTTGATCGATTTTCTTAGCACTTAATCAAATTAAAGAAAAAAATTAAAGTATCAACAGGCAAAAAAAAAACCCATAATTAAAATGAAATATTATAAATGTATCTGTGTCTAACAAGATTTTACAATGAGTGTGTCACTTTTATATATCTAATATATATACGATATACAATATACAAAATAACTGCAAATAAAAGCATTTTATACAACAACAACCAGCCATCTCTACCCTCGTTATTATTGCCAATGCAGCGGCAAAAACCGTTCTGAGCATGCTGACCCCAGGGTAAGAGAACACTAAAAATTGTTAAGCACAACAAAGCCAAGCCCGATAAGCAAGTGGCCAAGACAAAGGGCAGTAGACAACGGCGACAGGCGACAGGCGACAGGCGACAGACAAAAGTTTCAACTCGAACAACGTGGACAAGGAGCGCCAATTCTAAGGACTCAAAATTAGCAAACTTAAACGACGAAAAGAAAGCATCCCTTGAGTTATCACTTAATGCGCCTTAGTAAAGACGAGTGTCACGCTGATAACAATGCTTACGACTGTAACGATAAGCGCAACAAAGAAAGCTGCAACATAATTGAAGTTGGAATATTCTTTAAGATTTAGGCATAGAAAAAATGTCCCAAAAGAATTCGAAAAGGTACTTGTGAATTCTGTCTAAGATGAAATTAGTGATGTCCGGAAAAAAACATGACAACAAAATATTCTTATAGTTCTCCTTATTGTTGACATTTATTTCAAAAACGTGCCGTAGTCACATTTCCACACATAATTCTTAAATAGGGCTAAAAATTCTTATCTTATGTGATTAAACTTGACACCTGTATTTTGTGGTAAAACGAAATGGTTATAAAATAATTAAATTGATATATTGGCGATTATAAAATATTTTAGTTTAAAAGCACTTGTCTATCTCTGTACCAACTTTTATTAATAGTATTCGAACTCGTGGCCCCTGCGTATTTTGTGGGCCAAATAGCTGGCAAACATGCTAGCCATTAACTGCAAGAATTTCGAATTAGACAGGTTTTGCAAGAAACAAACTAAAAACTTACAATCACTCCGGATACAATAAGTACTCCGATTTTGACAACTTTCGCACTCGAATCCCACACATGGGCAAAAGCATCTATACAACCCCTTTTAAATAAAGGTTCCGGGCAAGTTTGACTGTTTGGCAAGCCACAGCAGGATGCGGGAAGACGTTCACCATTGTTTATGTAGTCTATGAAACCATTCATGCCGCAGCATTTTAACTATAAATAAGTTTAAGAGAAACTAGTAGTGTTTTTCTTACAGGGACAGGCAGATAGGTAAACTCTTACCTGTCTTTCCAATCTATGCAGAATTCTGCCATCTGTCTCGCGTTGTTTCCACATAATTTTTACAAAACTAACCACATGGTTGCGTATTTCGTAATATTCCATCCAGACATAGATGACAAAGGTTATTTGGCAAGCAAATAAAATTAACATAACTAGCGAGTACTGTTAACATAAATATTGGCATTAAATTGTATTAAGCAGATCAAAGGAATTACCACTCACCGCGCGAAGCTGACAGGGTTGACCGCACAGGGCACCGCAACAACCCAACAGCGAAATGACAAATACCAGGGTGCCCAAAATTAGCGTTACAATCGACACACTGTTCACAGTTAACAACTCCTTTGTGTTTGAAACATCTTTGATATCTAGCACCATTAAAGTTCCCAAAATAGCTAGAGTTGCCCCACATATCTACAAACGAAAAGGAACATTTATCTTCTACACTGTAGATCTTAATGCTTAGCAGACATCTGAGAAAAGTTGCTGAGTTTAGTAAAAATATCTTGAGCAACATAACATTTTATACCCTGAACCAATTAAAATTGGGTATAAGGGTATATTGTATTTGTGCAAAATCCAAATGTATGTAACAGGCAGAAGGAACATCTCCGACCCCATAAAGTATATATATTCTTGATCAGCATCAATAGCCGAGACGATCTAGCCATGTCCGTCTGTCTGTCCGTCCGTCCGTCCGAATGTATGAACGCAAGGATCTCAGAACATATAACAATTATAGACTTGAATTTTAGTAAATAATAAGAGCTAGAGTCCCCAAACTTGACATATTGCTTCTAAAATAGAATATATATATGCATTTGATGTTGGAAGAAAAGGGTGCAGGGTATCCCCTAGTCGAGAGCTCCCGACTAGAACCTCTTACTTGTTCCATTTAAAAATACATTTTTCGATCTATTTTTTTTAAACCATATCATATATTCTGATGTTGGTAAGATTTTGCAGAAATGCAGCGACATGGTAGACTTCGTAACTTTTAAGTTAAATTTAAATAACCCTGCCGGTCCTGCCGGCTCCGAGATATGAAACAGAAAGGCAGGTCTTTGCAATGTTTAATTGCCGTAGCCTTACATCTTTACAAGGAACTAGTTTAACTAGTATATATATCAAAAATATATATACGGATTCAAAGAGTTACACATGCACGACCACACTACTATACCCTGTAAAAGATATAAGCATAGGTGGCAGTGAATGTGACTCATGATTCCTTCAAATGCGGGCACCGATAACATTCCAATATTAAGCCGGTAGGTCATTTTACTTACAATAACTTTATAAATAATTTATTTCGCGCAATCTGTAGCTGTTTTAAAATTGGCAAACACTTATAAAACAAGCAATCGAGTACTGCAACATGATATTTACATATACATCGAAAGCGAAAGATCAAATTGACAAATTACTTTAGCTTGTGGATTCCAGAACGAAAAAATAACTTTTAAAATCGTTAAAAAATAAATTAGATCTAATTATTGCCTGTCTCTTCAATTCAGTAAATTATAAAAATCTCATTTCAATATATTTAGATGGGCTTTCAAGAAATTTTTTAACAACAATCTAATTGTGCCCAAATATTAAAAAAAAAATATTGATTAAATAAGCCAAGTTAACTCAATTACTAAAAATAAATGTTGATAATTTGTTGAATAATCTGCTTAAGCTTAAATACAACAGGAAGACTCGGCATAGATGGATAATTGATTAGATGTCCTAGTTTTTTGGATAGCCGTCACGCAAGTTCAAAAAAATACATGATAATAACAAATATTTAAAATATTAACAATCTGAGTATTTGTAGTGATCACAGCAAACACTATTTTAATTCATTTACCAAACACAAAACATTGAACAAAATCAACAGAAGTTTCACTAGTCCTGCACCACAACCCATATTGTTAATGTTCTGTCAGCACTTGTCGTTCGACTGAGGACTTTCAGTTCCCGTAACCAACTACTGTTATTTTCTGATATCAAAAGTTCTTATAATACAATATCGGAGACTCTTTTCTGATTAAGCTTAGTCACAGTGTTGCGATTAAATAGGCGGTTTACTCTCTGAACTAAACCGTTGACCGCATGAATGCGGGTGCATATTTTGTATATATGTCATCATATTAAAATCTAGCAATTAATTCATAAATCTATAATTGCTCTTTCTTTATTGTAATGTAAGATGCTGTCTAGTTGTTCTGACCGATTGACTGACTGACTGACTGGTTAAAAGCGCACAGCCAAAACCCCAAGAGAAGATCTTCCTGTAAATATAATTATAAATACAGAGTACTCTTAAATAATGTCAATTATTGGGTATATTTAAAGTAAAATATGAGAAAACCAAGTAGGTATTGGCCTAAAGGTCGGTAAAGCAATCAAAAGTAAAATAGGGACATTGAAATTATCTAAAAATAAAGAAAACAATAGCCAATATACTTATGTCTTTAAAGGCCGATTCGTTATTCTCACCCCCCAATAATTAGGTTCATATTATTTGTCTTTTGTAAAAAATCTAAGATATAATCCAAAAAAAAAAAAAAGAAAAAAAGAACAATATATATATATAAATACAAATCAATTGGAAAGCAAAAAATGGCTGCCAAGAATATGAACATAAATAACAAGCTGACCACGGTGGTGGCCACCGCCGGCTATGGCCCGGACACGATGACCGAGATCAGTTATATGGACAGCAAGGTCATTGGAAATGGCAGCTTTGGCGTCGTGTTTCATGCCAAACTGATGCCCAGCAACGAACCGATAGCTATAAAGAAAGTTTTACAGGATCGTCGCTTCAAAAATCGCGAGCTGCAGATCATGCGAAAGCTGAAGCATCCAAACATTATCACCCTCAGGTATTTTTTCTATTCCAGCGGCGAAAAACGTGAAGATGTTTATTTAAACCTTGTTATGGAGTATATGCCTGAAACTCTATATAAAGTGGAGCGACAATACGCGCGGGCCAAGCAAACCCTGCCCGTCAATTACGTTCGACTCTATATGTACCAGATGTTCCGAAGCCTGGCCTTTATGCATAGCTATGGCTTCTGTCATCGTGACATCAAGCCGCAGAATATGCTCCTGGATGCGGAAACAGGTGTGTTCAAGCTGTGTGACTTTGGCAGCGCCAAGCAGTTGATTGCCGGCGAGACAAACGTATCGTACATCTGCTCCAGATATTATAGATCGCCGGAACTCATATTTGGTGCCACACATTACTCAACAAAAATCGACATGTGGAGCGCTGGATGCGTGGTGGCTGAGCTGCTGTTGGGGCAGCTAATCTTTCCTGGTGATTCGGGCGTCGATCAGATTGTCGAGATTGTCAAGGTAATGGGCACACCCACGCCGGAGCAGCTTCAAGAGATGAATCCAAACTACAAGCAATTGAAGCTTCCGCAACTAAAGGCGCATCCATGGCCCAAAGTGTTTCGCATCCGAACACCACCAGAGGCAATCGATTTGGTATCCAAGCTGCTCATATATACACCCAATGACCGTGTGACACCTCTGATGGCCTGCGCGCATCCGTTCTTTGATGAGCTGCGCAATGAGCCCAACCAGCAGCTACCCAATGGACGCCCTCTGCCGCCATTATTTGACTTTACGGAATATGAGAGATCCATCGAGCCAAAACTAGTGCCTATGCTGATGGCAAACACCAACTCCGAAAAACCTGATACATCAGGCAGCTCTGGCAATCGGCGGGCCGCTGGCGAAGAGAACTCACCCCGACTGGACAGCAATCAGTCCACGCTGCGTAAACAGGTCAAGGAACCATCAGATCTAGTATTGAAACTGGGCGACACTGTTCGCGCCCAAAGACCAACCCCTACGCAGTGCCTGCAACGAAGGGAGCTGGGCAATGGCGACCACGTCGGCAGCACAGTGGTCTGCTTTGATGAGACGGAAACAGATGTCTGCGAGGAAGATGTGACAACAGATGCGGCTGAAGAGCAGGGTGCTGAGGAGCAATACAACAGCACTGATAGCCCCTCTTCGAGTGATGTGTTTGAGGAGCAGCAAACAGATGACGATGACGATAACAACGACGACGACGACGACGACGACGACGAAGCCGACGTAGTCGATGATGATGAAGAAAACGCAGATGATGATGATGATGATTAGGATGATGATGAAGTACACTAAGTATTGTTATTGTTTGTTCACAAATTCCTCAACGCAACAATTGATGAGAGCAATAAAAATTTAACGTATATCGAAATCAAGGCCCGTAAATCTCGGAAGAAGTCGCCTCCCCCCCAATTGCCTTTGGGGGGCTCTAGCGGTAAATAAATGAACTGAACGCACATTTTGGTCACATCATTTATAAGGTCGAAATGTCGCCACATTCGGCTAAAACAGACGCCCGACACACGCCAAATGGACATGGGAACGCCTAAAAGTATGCTTAATTATTAAAATGCCGCCAACACAAGGGGTGAAGTCTGGACGCTGTCATGAATGTCGTCCTAGCTGCCCTCTAAATATAAATTTTCGCGTTTTATAGGGCCAGCACACACACACACACACACACACACATGCAGTCATACTGAGGAAACAACTACGAGCAGCCAAATTAGAATGGGCCAGAAAACAACACGCACACATGTCCTGCTGCGGGCGGCAACGGCTCACATTTCCTGCCACATCCATCGTCCTCTGACTCCCAATGTGTGTATGTGTGTGTGTTAATGTGGTAAAATGAATTTTCAGTTTCATTAGTTAAATTGAATAATGGAAAACTTTGCTCGCCACATTTGCCATACGCCTCGCTGTTGTTGTCCTTGTTGTTGTTGCTTTTACTAGCCTTGTCCTGGTCTGCCAACGAAAGTTACACTTCCTGCACATACACACACACACACACACGCGCGAACACAGCACGTAACAACAAGGCTTTGGAGCAGGGCAATAAAGCAAATTTATGCAAACGATAAATTTCGTGAGAGAAAATGTTTGTTTTGTTTTCACCAGCTCGACTTGGCTTGGCATTGTTGTTGTTGTTGTTTTTGCTACTGTAAGTGGCAGTGTTGCAAAAGGCGCTAAGTAACACCTACCCATTATTTGGAAAGTTGTTGAAAGTTGTTGTCCACGGCATTAAACAGGGAATACTTATAATTTAAGCATACAATTTCCGAAGTGCTTGTTACGCGAAATTCAATATTAAAAATGTGTAAGAATAAAACTTAATGGGGATATATAAATTATCTTCTTACTCAAGCTATGTTATAACTATGATATGAATATGGATTTATAAAAACTGGCGTAAGTCTATGAGGCTTTCGTTTTGTTTCTACCTCTGCTTTTTTCATACGTTGCATAAATTGCCGGGCATTATTTTACTCAATCAATGAACGTGAAAAGCAGATCATGCTTCTGCGGGTAACTCGAGCTGGTTATAAATAAATGTATCTCTTGAAGCCCTCATTAATCCATTGACTCACAATCTCTCGACATTCGCTGCATCTGATATCAAATTTATTAACCTACACATAATCTTAGACTTTTTCTACCTCACGACCAGGCTGTTTCTCCAATCGCCACAAGCAGATTCACAATGCTTGTAAATGCTAATGTGTTTAATCAAACAATATCTGACCTGACGAGTTCATCTACTAAATACAAGTACAACTACCAACTCGAGCATATTTTGCCATAGCAACCCCAAGAGCAGCGCTCCTACGGCAAAAACAGCTCCATAATAAACACGCCAAAGTGTTTGCCGCATGTGTGCTTGTGTTGCTGTGTGTGTGCGTGTGTGTGTGTGGGTGGGGGTTTGAGTGTGAGTGTGTCTGCTTAACAGAGAGTGTTTCGGTTGGCCGTGCAAAACCTTTGACTGAAGTAAGATTACGGTATGCTACACACTATATAATAGCAGCTCATGGAACCATGAACAGAGAGAGAGAAAGAGGGAAAAACGGCTGACTTTTAGCGAGGTGTGGCAAACAAGTCGACAGCAGAAGCCTCCCCCAGTCCAGGGCAGAAGCACCCAAAGCAATGAAACATTTTTCGGCAACAACAGCCATTGGGGAGAGTTAGAGGCCAAAGCTCTAACTTGCAGGCATTTTATGGCCTTTTGGGCAACTGGGCTGGAACTGGAGCTGAAGAAGGCATGGGATCATGCCTTGGTGTTGGCATCTTCTGCTGCTTTCAATGGCTACTAACAAGCAGCCGCCCAAGGTGAATGTGGTTAAAGTGTTTTCAGTTAAAGCACTCGGGCCAAACATTTGCATAAACGCCTGGCGCCCACGCAAACAGACAAACAAACGAGCAAACAAACAAACGCAGACTGCGCGGCACAGACAGCTAGGCAGAAGAGTAAGCGAGAGTGAAATAGAGATGGTGAGAGAGAGAGAGAGAGAGCGAGAGAGATAGTGCTTTGGTTGATATTGCAACTGGCCGACTGGCGAGTGAGAGAGTTATTTTATTTCCGTTTCCGGGCACGCACACTTGTAGCTAGCCGAGTGCAAAGTGCGCCGGCGGTTGCTACCTTTCTGCACACTGATAAATTTTCACTAAATGCAATTTTAATGGGCTTTGTACAACTGCCGAAACGTGTAACCGAAGCCGTAGCTACCACCAATTTGTGCTGCAGGTGAACAGTACTTAAACTTGTTGCAAATTTTGTAATTCTAAACTCAAAACTAAAACTGCGGATGAGTTCGTATTTAAAATAACTTTGCCCGAGACTAATTGTAAAATAATATGTATTTTGAATCTCACAGTTTAGGCAACAGTCTCTAAAATAATATAGCATAATTTTCAACACATAAATTACCAATAACATTTTATCATAAATGTATTATTGTTTTGGCATAGACAACATAAAACAAATAATAACTTTTGCCGGTGTAAAAACCAAACTAAACCTTTAAGCTTAACAGCTATGTTTGTATCTGGCGTCTCACAGCCCAATCTTTATATATGATTTAATTAGATTGCTGCCTAGATTTATCGGCTTGTTGAAATAATAACAAATGAATCAGATATAATTCATTATAGAGGCAGAGCAACTAACTATGCTATTCCCCTGGAGCATCGGATAGGATAAAGATCATATAAAAAACGACTATCAAATGATCAGACTCGACTTTGCCGCTGGTCTCTCCAGGGTACTTTGAAATTGTGTTTGTTGCCTCTGCCTGGTAGGGGCCCCACGGGGGCGATAGGCGATGAGCAGTGTTTGGATGGGA